CATAGTTAGCCAGGAAATTGGAACATGCAGAAGACGACTGCCCATAGGCACACACTAAGCACTGTGGCTTTCTTATTAAACAAAAATGATTGTTGAAGAAACTGCAGCGTGGATTATTAGGTGCACCATTGTGCAGCAGTGGATTGTGGCCTATATAGATTCAAACCACAATTTCCCTCTGTTGTGGATGTAGAAGCTGGAGGAAGAAGAAAGATGACAGGGGAAAAGGTTCATTTGAAATACAGTGTTTGAGGATAGGTTTACAGATGCCAAGGACCACAAGAAAGATAAATAACTATGTTCTAAATCAGATCAAATGTACACTCTCACTAGAAAGTAAAATTACTAAACTGAGATTATTGTACTCAATTTATTTTATTGACATGTTATGAGAAGAGAAGTCTCAGTGGAAAATAGTGCTAGGAAGAATAGAAGGAAGTAGGAAAAGAAAATGATTGATTGGTTCAATAAAGGAAGCCATGGCCTTCAGTTTGCAAGACCTGAGCAGAGCTGTTAATGACAAGACTGAAGGGCATTAATTCATTGAGCCACCACAAGTCAGGAGTGAATTGACAGTATATTGTATAGGAACATCATCCCCACCTCCTGCAAATCATCTAGGCAGATGAAGCATTCAGATGATAGAAAGCAATGTTTTTCTGGCAAATGTGAATGCATGTCTCTTCTCTTGTGCACATAACATACTCATCACAGTTAAAAGATGTTTCTTTTAGATCTCTGTGATTGAAAGATATTCATCATATGACAGAGCAAGTCTTCTTAAATACAACAGAAGAATTGAAAGACACAGGTTCGAATGTGTTCCCATCCTAGACCTGGGGTGGGTAAAGGAAGGGTTATGTCTGCCCATAGGAAGCCCTATATTCCTAGCACACATGTTGCTACTAATATCCTACTTCTGTTCCTCTAGGAATTGTGATTATGAAATATATTTTTGAACATTTATTGTAGTCCATTCCAATGGATTTTAGTTTAATAAGCATTATAAATCTCAGTACAGTTGGGAAAACAATATCAATAGCCTTATATAATATAAAGTTTATGTTCACATTTCAACTGGGTGTGTAGTGGAAGTGAAATATAACAAACACACCGACTCAGTTATATTAAATGAGCTCTATGTTTACATGGTTATGAAAAAAAGGAAAAAAATAATAGCTGGGTGGTGCCATACATGTTTCAGCGCAAGAGAGAGACCCATTATTCAACAAATTGATTGTATATCTAGTAAAATGTATATGCTTATTGTGATCTGAAATCAGGTTCCTACGTTTAGTGTGTTTGGTCCTGAACACAGCCTGGATCATTGATGGCAAACCTATGGCACATGTGCCATAGCTGGCATGCGGAAACCTCTCCCTGGGCACGCGAGCAGACCTCTACCTCCCACCCTCTGCAGCTGAACCTCAGACTGCATGATTGTAAGCCACCTATCCCTGCTACCTTCCTTGGTTGTGGCACTCGTAAATCAGTTCTTTTACAGATCGGAGATAAGGCTGCTTTATTGTTTTCTGCTGTAGAACAGCCCGGCTTGTGAATTACTACTTCCTCCAGACATGACTGCAAGCAGGAGGGAAAGCTCCAATTAAGGCAGGAAGGAAGGTGCAAGAGAGTGACGGGTGGATTCATTAAGCTTGTTTAAATGTGAGATTGTAGAAAATTTAGAGAGGGAGGATGGGTGTATGTGTGAGAGAGAGACTGATGAGCCCCTCAGTTCGGAAGGCGTCCAACATGCTACTGAGGAAGAGCGGAGGACAAGTACGAGTAGCTCCAGAGTTAATGAAGTAGCTGGGCCAAAGCCGAAAGGACGCTCAGTTGTGGACGTGCCTGGAAGTGAAAGGAAAGTCCGATGCTGCAAAGAAAACTACTGCACAGGAATGTGGAATATAAGATCTATGAACCTAGGTAAGCTGGATGTGGTCAAACAGGAGATGGTTTTTGAGAGAGACCTTCAAAGTGGGCAGCTGAAATATTTTGCAAATCTAAAAATGCATTTGGAAAACTCTACAACATTTACCGACAATCCTACAAGCCATCAGGAAATTTGCAAGGAATTTTCTAGCATTGTAGCAGCTGCAAAGGAGAATTTTAGGAACAGATTTTTACAGTTCCATAAGATGGAGACAACTCTTTGTTTTCTTTGAAGAACTTGTTATTTCCTGCTTACAGTGGTTAGATTTTGGAAATCTGGAAATGGAGCTATTGGAATTTCAAGAAAACTGTATCTGGAAAAATAAATTCTGTGACCTTCGTGCAACACTGGAGAAGGTAGAGAGTGAAGGGATGACAAAGGACAGAACAGTTGGTAGCTCTGAAAATGAAATCCTTAAAGTGGAATTCTCTGCCAAATAATTTTAAGTCAATGAAAGCACTTGGGATTGCTCTTCTTACTTTGTTTGGGTCATTTTATACTTGTGAGTAGCTGTTTTCAGCTTTGAATTATATCAAATGTGATACCAGAAACACTGACAGATGACATGAGTGCTGCATGTATTGCTCTCAGACTAACTGCTTATGAGCCAAGGTTTGACAAATTATCAGCATGCATACATCAAAAATCACATTAATTGTGCAAAAGCATGCCAAGTTGAGTATCCCTTATCAAAAAATACATGCAAATAATTATTTTAAAAGTTCGTATAAATTACCTGGCTTCAGGCTAAGTGTACAATTTATTACTTTAATATTTTTTTCCATTTACTAGAGTTAATTGTTATTTTTCAATTTTAAAAGTGTATCATTGAAAGTTCTGTTATTATGCTTTTCTTTGAAGACAAAAGGTGTTGATTAGTTCAGACAACTATGAGTTGTTTTTTCTAAACTAAAACCTCAGTATTCAGATTTAATTGCAGTGTTGGCACTTTGAAAGAAATAATTTGGTTTTGTGTTGTCGTTTGGGCATTCGGGCCCAAAATGTTTCGCCATCACTGGCCTAGATGGTCAATTTGAAATAATCTACAGACTTCAGTGTCACCTGTTCTAAGTTCTTCGTTGGAAAGGGAAGATGAAACTGTATTGTTGGTAATGGAAGAGGACTTCGCATAATTGGTTCTAATATTAAGGAATAGTCTTACAAGACTATTCCTTAATAGTAGAACCAATTAAGGGGCGGAGTCACGAGATAGAAGAGACTCAGCAGGAGGAGGGAGTTAGTTAGAGTTAAGAGATTGAGAGATTGAGAGTTGAGAGAGTTTTGGAATTTGGGCGGGAGAGGGGTGGTTGAGAGGGATAAAGGAGAATGTTTGTTTAAGAATTAACAACATTGCTTATTCTATCAACATCTGTAACAATAAACAATTTCTATTTGGTTCTTTTAAAATGACATATGGCCTGGACATCTATCATTAATAATAGATCATGTTGATGTAATCAACTGGTGGCAGCTGAGGGGCACGTAGCGTGAGCTCCTAGTTTGGTGAAATAAGCACAGGGATGGTGACAATTGTAGACTTTGTTCAGGCAAGGGGGACATGTGAAAGAATGTTGCACTGTAGTCTGATCTTGTTAACAGTTCTTGTGACTCAGTTGTGCTGTCCTTAGTGATACTTAATTCTTCAATAATCCATTAGAATCTGATTGTCAATGGAGGCAGAAAATTGCTGTGGAAGCAAGCACTTGTTACTTTGAGAAGAGACTGCAAAAAGTGCTGGTTTCCCTAGAACTGCCAGAAACCTTGATTTATACACAATGCTGCTCTGTCAACATGGTGCTGGTTCAGCATCATCCTTGCATGCATGGACTTGGCAAGTTTTTAAATGTCACATTTTGTGTAATTGGTTGAATCTCTGAATAGGATCCTCTCCTTTGTGTTAAAGGATGTCTAGTGCAGAATTTTATGCTGACATTCCCTTGCCTTTGTCTACTTTCTCCCAGGGTACATTTGTGGAGGCGTTGTTTTGTTGTGTTCAGGATCTTGAAAGAACAATATAACACTCTGTGATCACTGTAGGACCAGTGTGATGTCGGAAGAACCTTGCATATTCATGTCAGAGATTTAACATTTGTATTTTAACGTGCAGTGAATTTTTGATGTGCATAAGTTTCATTTATATATGAAAGCAAATTTCATGAATTTCTGAATTGATTTTTTTTAAAAAAAAAATCCATATTATGGAATTTAATCGTCATTGCAGATACTTGCTGTAATGGAGTGTATAGGGAGAAGAATTAAATGCCTTCACATTGTGATCCAGGCCTACTACTCCAACAGCTATTTGTAGTTCAAAAATTACTGTAACATAGGTTGCATATATGGTTTGAACCTAAGAGGGATTTTGCTGAGACTATTTACATTACTGTTGCTACTGAGCCATAATGTGTTTCCTTTGTTGTATTTCACTTGTTATAGGTATTGATTTTATTGTACAGCAACAGGTGCTTCAGGAATATAAAATCATTTCACAAATGGCAATAGTAGTAGTGTATCAGAAAGTGAACAGTTACTCTGGAATGTCTCAGGAATATTTGAGGGAGTAATCAAAAGTTGATATAGTAGTTCTCTCCTATCACAACTGCTCCAGACACCAACTAAGAATGTTTATCTGGCCTTTTTCAGTAGGTAAGGATATAGTATGGCTTGGATTCTAACTTCAGTTTCTAAATGAAATAGACCTCTATTCATGGAATGGGACCTCTGTGTTATTTCCCTACCTCTTCAGCTCTCTCTGCCACATGAAATCTGTTTCTGATGGCTGGGGAATTTCTGGAATGGACCAGCTTGTGCTGTGGGGTGTTTCAGAAGGAAATGAGGAAATAGGACAAATCGGGGGTGGGGGGTAGGGGTGGAGAAATGGCAATACTTTGAATTTGCATATTATCAGCAGTATTATGCTTGTTAAAATGGTGAAACTATTTGTACAATTGTTGACTTAAAGAAAAATAACTCCTATGAGAACTGGAAAAAAAGTTGCTGTGTGCAAGGCTTTGTTTTCTGAGTCCCTTGACTAATTGCTATCTTCCTTTCTCTTTATTTATTCTAGGTTCAAAGCAAGTGTAATTACTAAAACTTCGGGCCTTAAGTTTTTTGACATGTGCAGCAAATTGACTACTTGTTGAAATGGACAGACAGAGGTTTCCAGAAAATCAGAGGTGACAGAACAGACCTTTTAACACCAGATTAAATGATAACACCTGGGATCTCATGCAACCTTTGTATTTCCTGGAGTATCTTCTCCGGAAGAAAAGTGTACATTCAAAAGGCAGACATGACTGTGTTTTCCTTTGCAGCTTACTAAGAGTGAACACGTTTTCCAATAATGACCAGCTTGAAGCGGTCCCAGACTGAAAGGGCTGTTGCCACTGGAATGTCAGATGGAACTCCTAAAGTCCATTCGGATGACTTTTACATGAGACGCTTTCGGTCACAGAATGGCAGCTTAGGATCTTCAGTGATGGCTCCAGTAGGTCCCCCACGCAATGAAGGGTCTCATCATCTTACTTCTACTCCTGGAGTTCCTAAAATGGGGGTTAGGGCAAGAATTGCCGACTGGCCCCCAAGGAAGGAAACTTTAAAAGAGAACAGCAGATCAAGTCAAGATATGGATACAACAAGCTGCCTTGATAGTATGTCTTCAAAAAGTAGTCCTGGGAGCTCTATTAACTTGAACGCTAGTGACTCTGTCATGTTAAAGAGTATCCAGAGTACACTTAAAAATAAAACAAGACAATCGGATAACCTAGATTCTAGGTTTCTTACTCCCGATGGTTATCACAGCTCCCCAAGGAAAGCTCTTCGTAGAATAAGACAGCGTAGTAATAGTGACATCACCCTAAGTGAACTTGATGTGGATAGCTTTGATGAATGTATCTCACCCAGCTATAAATCTGGGCCATCATTGCACAGAGAATATGGCAGCACCTCATCAATTGATAAGCAGGGTACTTCAGGGGATAGTTTTTTTGATCTGTTAAAAGATTATAAAGATGATAAGTCAAATCAGAGAGTCCTGGGTTCTAGCAAATTCGGTGATCTCCTTATAGCTAGTGGAAGCAAGGGTTCAGGGTTTTCTCTGGATGTAATAGATGGACCCATCACTCAGAGGGAGAACCTCCGATTATTTAAAGAAAGGGAAAAACCACTGAAGAGGCGTTCAAAATCAGAGACTGGAGATTCTTCCATTTTTCGAAAGCTCCGTAATGCCAAAGCTGAAGGGGACCTAGGGAAATCTTCGGACCTTGAGGACAGCAGATCAGAAGACAGTGTCAAACCTTGGACTTGCCCAAAATGTTTTGCCCATTATGATGTTCAGAGCATATTGTTTGATTTAAATGAAGTGGCAGTGAACCGGCACAACGTTATTAAGCGAAGGAATACAACAACTGGAGCTTCTGCTGCGGCAGTTGCATCATTAGCTTCTGGACCTTTGTCCCATTCTGCAAGTTTCAATTCCCCAATGGGCAGCACAGAAGACCTGAATTCCAAAGGAAGTCTCAATATGGATCAGGGAGATGATAAAAGTAATGATCTTGTGATGAGTTGTCCTTATTTTCGTAATGAGATTGGTGGGGAAGGAGAAAGAAAGATCAGTCTCACCAAATCTAACTCTGGATCTTTCAGTGGCTGTGAAAGTGCCTCTTTTGAGTCTGCTCTTAGCTCTCATTGCACAAATGCAGGAGTAGCTGTACTTGAAGTGCCCAAAGAAAACCTGATGTTACACTTGGACAGAGGGAAAAGATACATTGTTGAACATGTGGATCTTGGTGCATACTATTTTCGGAAATTCTTCTACCAGAAAGGTGAGCAGTCATCACTTATGACCTATTGTAATCATTCATTCCTGTTTACCAAACATTTTCAGAGCAATGTCTTGGTTAAAAAAATACTTCTTTTTCATGGTACTTATGGCTGGACAGCCAAGTGGTTTGGATATATGGCTGTGGAGCCAGGGGCTGGGAGTTCAATTCCCCACTGTATCTCCTACTAGTAGAACCAACCTGTGTGCTTTGAGCAAGCTGCACAGTCCAAGGTGCTCTCCTCAGAAAAGAATGGCAAATGACTTCTGAGTACTCTCTACCTGGAAAATGCTAAAAAGTGTCAACATAAGTCAGAATTGACTTGACGGCACATGATGATTATTAGTTTTTTTGAAAAGCCCACCAAGTGTGAAAAATTTCACTTTCATTTATATTGTCACAAAGCCTGAGCAAAAGAAGCAGGCTACAGAAAAGCTGTAGTGAACACATTAAAATATATGGGAAGGAGCTGAACCATAGACATTATGTGGATAGTACATGGAGTTCAGAGGCTGCAGCTTCCCGTGCCATCCACAGCAAAAGCAAGAGCTGTGATTTAATGTTAAGTGGGGTCAGGTTCAGAAACTATTTGACTTGACCATAATTCAAACCTGTCGAACTTTGGAGAGCTGTATCCACTCCTCCAACATCCTTCAGATTTTTTTTCCTTACAAAATGATTTTTTTTCCCCTGAAGAAGTGTCCTTGTGCCCTCTACTGGCTGAAAACATTTTAAAATAAAAAGATTGGTGTGTGGGGGGGCACCTAAAAACACTGCAAAATGCTTCCCATCTCCCCTAAAGAACACAAAAGGACTTTCTGAGGCAAATGTTCTAGGGAATGTTTTTTGGGCTTTGAGGGCTGAATATTATTCATCTCTGTGTATTCATGTCTGAATGCAACCACTGTTGAAAATAAACTAGGAGAGATTCTGGGATTTTTGAAACCTGTTGCATTGCTTTCTAATATACCTTTTTTATTATATGCCATTAAGTTGTTTCTGATTTACAGTAATCCTGATAAGGATTTTCAAACTATTTGGAGTGAACCTTTGCTATCCCCAGTGAGTTTCCGTGGTGAAGTGAGGATTTAAAGTCAGGTTTGACACTCTATCGACTATACTGTATTGACTCTGTAATCTTAATATACATGTTTGGATGGTTAAATAACTTCTGAAAAATTCTATCCCTTCTACGAACCCTTCTCTCTTTTTAAATGCGAAAGAGCACTGGAACTATTTTGGGGCAGATGAGAACCTTGGACCTGTCGCTGTCAGTATCAGAAGAGAAAAACCTGAGGAAATCAAAGAGAATGGGTCTCAATACAACTACCGCATCATTTTCAGAACCAGTGAGGTAAGAAGTAGATTGGAAATATAAAAATAAGATTTTTGTAAGAAACAACTTGTCATTCATGTTACTGTATGGCTCCTTAAGTAGGGAAAGACAAAAAGCAACAATTCTGAAATATCTATGGAGGTGTTCTTCAGAGGTTTCTTAGGAAATCAGTTATAATCCACAAAAACTCATACTAAAACAGATCTGTTAGTTTCAAAGGATACCATAGTACTTCTGTTTTTTTCTTTTTCTTTTATGTTGTTTTTGCTGAAGCAAACTGGCATAGATACTTTTCTGAAAAACTGCTTTAGTGGAGAGACCTTTAAATGAAGGGGCAGATTGCTGGTGGGAGATTCATATTGCACTGAAATTTCACAATACATTCTGAAGGCAGAAAAATACAAAACTCTTCAGTTATTTCAAGACATTTCACATGTTCAGTTATGAAAGATATATTGTGATCTGCTTTCAATAATTCTTTTTAAACATAAGTAATGGCGTAAAATGTTTATTGAAGTTAAACCAGTTGACCAGAATCATACTATATAGTTGTGCCTGTGGAAGGCAAGCAGTGTAACTCATAGTTGCTTCTAACTGCTAATTAAAACATCCCTACTTGGGTTGCTTGGAGTCTGGTAGGTTGGCACACATTCAGAAGTCAAAGTAGGATCTTAATTGCCAATGAGAAGCTACCACAAATTATGCTATTAGCCTTTTACAAGTTGCCTTTTTATTTTGACCATTTTTACATTTATACGTGTATTACATTGACCCTCACATTACCCTCTTTCCCTGAAAATGACCTAACCTGAAAATAAGCCCTAGTATGATTTTTCAGGATGCTCGTAATATAAGCCCTACCCCCAAAATAAGCCCCAGTTAAGTCAAACCCCGCCCTCCACCATTGTGCAGCAATCAGAAGATGATGGCATGACTGTATTTGAATAAATGTTCATTGTTGTACATGAAAAAAATAAAACATCCCCTGAAAATAAGCCCTAATGCGTTTTTTGGAGCAAAAATTAATGCAAGACCCTGTCTTATTTTTGGGGAAACATGGTATTATATGGCCATTCCCTCTCTTAACTGTTGTCGTTATGTGTTGTCAAGTCAGAACTGACTTACAGTGATCCCAGTTGACTTTCAAGGTAAGTGAGATATATAAGGAATGGTTTTACTAGTTCCACTCCTCCAATCAGTTTCCATGGCTGAGCGAGGATTGGAACCCAGGCCTCCCAAGTCCTAGTCGTTCTGTCTGTCCACTACACCAGTGGTCCCCAATCTTGGGCCTCCAGATGTTTTTGGACTACAACTCCCAGAAGCCTTCAGCAACACATCTACTGGTCAGGATTTCTGGGAGTTGAAGTCCAAGATCATCTGGAGGACCAAGGTTGGGGACCACTGCACTACACCACATTAGGTAATGCCAAAGGCTTTTTCAGTTAAAAAAAATAGACATGCACTTTACAAGGTTTATTATGCATCATATACAATCCTGATTTGGTCTATATTTCTTTCATAGTATGTTTATGGCCTTGGCCAAAAAAGAAAAAAGGTTGAGAATGGCTGCTCTGAAGCTCCCATAGCCAAAATCTTGGTTATATAAAATATATATAATTTGTAATTTTATTGCCTCACTTTAATGTCTTCAGAAAGGAGAGGCTATAGTTGTCAACTAATACAGTATTATTCTATAGTTTTAAGACTATCACTCGAAGCTTTAAAAGAGCTTACTCATTCATAGCAACTAAACATATTGCTTGTTCTGCTATATTTTATGACATTTGCTATATCATGCAAAGGTACTTATATTTGCCATATTTGGTAGTTTTAAGCCTGGTTTTGCTGGGTGTTTCACACTTTAATTTGATAAATCTTGCTCAAATACTATATAGTGTACATCTGGAACATTTTGTTTGCCAACTGAAAACTAAACTCAAATACTATAAATATTAGTTTGCTTATGCCATTAGAGAGTATCTATGCAGAGGAGAACATAGCACAAATGCTTTTGTTACTACCAGTAAATGAATAAAGCCGGTTAATATGCAGAATAGTTCATATTCTGTTTACTCATGCCAAAACACCACATACACATCTTTTGGCACATAGGAATTAACCTTCATAAGGTAGCCATCACAACCACCCTTTTCACAGAATCCCTCTAGCCTGAGGAAAAGCTAGCATTCAAACTTTTAAAAACTATTCAGTGGCCAGAGGTCTGCTGGCATAAATCTTAGTGGTCAGTTGCTACAAGTGTAGATACTTGCTATGACTTGATGTGCTACAGCAAATGCCTTGCTTGCAACAGTAAACTTCTGAAATTTATGCAGTTGGGGCTATGTTGGCTTAAATATGTAATAGGATTCCAGCCAGTGTTTCATTTCCCCAGGTTGTACAATTATGTTTTGACTTTTAAAGTGTTTGTATAGTGGTGCCTCGCAAGACAAATGCCTCGCAGGACAAAAAAATCGCAAGACAAATGGTTTTGGCAATGGGGTTGATGACTTGCAAGACAAATGTTCCTGTGGCCATGCTTAGACAACATTAACTGTGTAACGAATTAAATTCATCTTGCGAGGCACCACTGTAAGGGTTTTTTTTCAAATTATATCTGAAAAAAATATATTTTGAATGCTTTCTAGATTCAAGACTCAAGAAACGTTCTGGGCACAGCTAAGAAACTATCAAGTAACCAGATGAACTATTTCTCTTTCTTAGAGGAAGTTTTATCAAAGAAAACACAGAAGAAAAATAAAAAAGACAAAAATATTGTGGCATCTTAAAGAGTAGCTGCTGTATTTTAATGTGTGATTTCATGGACAAGTCCACTTCCTCAGCACTATCAGAGAATACAATCAGCTGAGTCTTTGCCATTTGTTCTGGCTATTTGTTGCTTCTAAGCTGTTTTTAAGTTACACAGCCACAACCATTTTGGCCCATAATATTTTATGGACAGATTGTCTCAATAGGAACACATCTATCTTTTCAAGATCAATAAAAGGACCTTGTTCTCACATTAGTTTGTGGAATTCAATTTGTGAGAGAAAACAGAGATTGAAGGTCATGTGTCCATTTAACAAATTAACAGTAAAATTGTTACTTTTGCTTGAAATGGGAGGAATGGCCATTTCAAAATTGGTTTTCAAATTCTAGAGTTCAGTGTCACAAGAGATCTGTGTAGCCATAGTCTAAAAAGTTAACTTCTTGTTTTCCAGTCATGATACCTGGATTGATCTTTATTCCCCCCCAGTGATTTTACACCTTCAGCTTCTATAGATTTCATCTAAGTGTGAAACAATACAAAATGCTAGGTTATGTTCCAGGATGTTTGTGTATTACCTATTTCATTAAGATTAGGAATGGCAGCCTCCAGAGGTTTAGGGACATATTCATAACAGAACCTTATAGAGCATATCTGCTCCCACAGCTCTCCAGTGCTCAAGATTTTTAATTACAATTGAATAAGACCCTTGCATTCTAGTGCACATATGGTGGGATGCTGGGGGCTCTCAGTATGTGATGGAATTTTTACCATACCCTCCACATGGAAAATGAGAATTTTGGGGACAATTTAAAGGAAACCAATCAGAAGTGTTGGGGAATTGCATCTGGGTCTCCAGGGAGCTGAATGCAGCCCACAGAGCACATGTTGCTTCACCCTAACGAAAATGGAATACTTAACCACACTAAATATTGATTGTTAGAGTGCAGGGATATAGTATTGTTCTTGTCTTACTGCCACAGTAACAGTAACAGAGATTGTGCCCACTACTGGGATACATCAAAAAATGAATATATAAGTGACTTGTGCACTTGCTAGCCATACCTCAAAATAATGTATGAATGAGAAATTCTTGGATATCCCAGGAGGAAGAAGGGATGCTTTTCTTGTAGAGCAGAGTGAATATTGAGTCTGTACATGTTCCCCTTCAGATATTAACACCAAACAGAAAAAAATAGGTGCATAGCTGAATAATTTGTATATTGACTTTTCATGTTTTTTATTATAAAGTTAAGTTATCCTCCATTTCAAGAACTGAACTTCTGCATCCTCAGCCAGTTCGTCTTAAACTGCTACATAGGTCCTAGCATAATTTTTGTTTTGTAGCTTACAACACTCAGAGGCTCTGTTTTGGAAGATGCAATACCTTCAACTGCAAAGCACTGCACAGCTAGAGGACTGCCCTTGAAAGAAGTGCTTGAACATGTGATTCCTGAATTGAATATTCATTGCCTCCGATTGGCCTTCAACACTCCTAAGGTCACAGAACAACTTATGAAACTTGACGAACAAGGGGTAAGTTCCAAAGAACAAGCTTCAGTCCTTTGGTAGATCGTTCTTTATAGCAGCAGATCTATAAAATCAACTTTTTCTCCATTCTATCTGGAAATTTGAAAGAAAGCTGCCACGTATCTATTGATGCTACAGAATGAGGTGGTTGGTTTGTTTGAAATTGGAGAACCTAATATTGTTGTACATAGCAAATCAATTAAGGGAGTTAAATGTTCCAAGGCATGTAACAATTTACGTACTGCATTATATCCTATCATGTAAATCTTTGTGGGTTTTTTGTCAGTTATATTCTTCACTGTATGCTACAAGGCAGCGTGTAAGACATTGATATATACCTTTCTACCAGTGACATATTTGATGCTGTGGTCTTATACTCTCTCTCCTTGTTTATTCTTTTACCAAATGAGAGCAAATTGGAGAACCTAAGATTGTTGTACATAACAAATCAATTAAGGGAGTTAACTGTTCCAAGGCATGTAACATTTTACGTACTGCATTATATCCTATCATGTAAATCTTTGTGGGTTTTTTTGTCAGTTATATTCTTCACTGTATGCTACAAGACAGCGTGTAAGACATTGATATATACCTTTCTACCAGTGACATATTTGATGCTGTGGTCTTATACTCTCTCTCCTTGTTTATTCTTTTACCAAATGAGAGCTAAACTATCTTTGAAAGGTTTTGCTCCTGCTTTCTAAAAATCAAATGAACACATTTTCTAAATGAACGAGGTTATGCCTATGCTTATAAAGCAGTATAGTTGATTGCATCCCAACTTGAATATTCTAAGGAAAAATGAGCTATCAGAAGTGGAAATACGGATATTTGGTATAAATTCAGGAATGAATGGACTATGCTTATAAAGCAGTATAGTTCATTGCATCCCAACTTCAGTATTCTTAGGAAAAATGAATTATTTGTGTTCATGTTGATGATTGTGGATCTCCCAACTCAGGAAATCCCACTGGAAAATCTTGGGATTGTGAGACACAGCAATCAGTAACTTTGTTCCCTTCTAGAATGTTGTTGTCAGAAAATGGTGTTTGGAAAGTCCTGTTCTACTCCATGGCCTTTGATTAAGGGATATCTTAGAGTTGCATTTTGTCTCCTGTGCCTGTTAGCATCAGTGAGACCACCTACAGATTTGGGTTGAAGTTCATGAATATGTGTATTACTCTTAGCTGATATGCAGATATTTGGTATAAATTCAGGAATGAATGGGGATGGGCAAGGAAATGGGTTGGAGAGGATAGTGCACAGATTATCTACAATCTATGGGAAGTGACACCCTGTCCTTGGTAAGATTGCACTTTCCTTTGATAGGCCAGATATGCAGCTGAGAGTGTTTCATATATGCTGGTATTTCTGAATTTCTAGGTATTATTAATGGCAAAAACCACCTGTTTTTACGCTGCTTTTAACTGGTTTGCCAGTTGCGGAATCTTCAGAAAAGACAATTATAGCCTCAAGTTTCTGTACCCTAGTCATTTCCAGGCTGGAGTACAGATGTGTTGTGTAAGTGCCTCTGAAGTTGCTTCATGAACTTCAGGCGGTTCAGAATTTAATAGCCAGATTGCTGATATTACTGCAGTGTTGCATTATTTGTACTGGCTGCCTATTTCTTTCCAGGATCAATTTTATGTCCTATTTTTAACATTTTAAAGCCCTGAATGGTTTGTAGTCAGGTCACCTAAGTGGCAGTCTGTTCCACTGTGTACCTACTTGAATGTCCTTACATGAAATCTGATGGGCGTATATCTGTGATTACAAAATGACCACTCCTTGAAGGTCCATGTTCCTCTTCTCTTTCCTATTTAGATGTTTGTTTCAACTAACTGTTGACTTTTCAGTTTTTCTGTCTTTGCTGTGCTTAATTATTAGCCCATTATCTCTCTGCTGCAGTTTCAAATTGCTGATAACACAAACTTTATTGTTGTGCTTTATGCTATAATTATCATACAATTTTGATTAAATTAAATGCAGTGAAGGTGTATAGAATATCTGCAAGGATTGGTCCCATACATCTCAATTTCAAAAATAGGTCAAATATACAGAGTTTATATTTTTTTCTGTTGAGGTTAAATTGCTTTTTCATACAGATAGCCTGCTAATAGAGCCAACAGTGTCAATTTATCAGGCCCCATTAAAATTGTTTTAGGTAACTGAAAGCTGTTTATATGCTTAAAAACTATTCTGATTACATGGGGAAAGTATTCTGATTAAAGCGACATCTACATCTTCATATCTCACAGAACTTGGCAGTTATTCAAATAGAAGGAGTTGTCATTGTGATGAATTTGTTTATCCTCCTAAACACAATGTTTTTTTAAAGTAATATTCACACATGGGAACTAGAAATACTAGTTGGCTTAGCTTATTTGTGGTGGAGCATACCAGGCTTGTAAAAGTCACAAATGCAAGAGCTAATGTGTCTGCAAGCAGAGGAGACACTGAAGCTGCTAATACTTAATTTCACAACATGCCATTTCGGATAAGTATCTCTTCTCTTGCATCCTTTAAAGATATCAAGAGATATACTTAGCACATCAGTAAAACTTGAAACAATCTCCACTAGAAGACACTGAACTCTGACTTGTACTACCTTTGTTTTACAAAAATTAGTCTGCCCCTGTGAGGGTTGTTACAGTTCTGGGGTGGTGTTTGAAATGTAAAGCAGGATTAAATAATGTCTTTCAGATGGATGAATTATATTTTATTCCCTATTGCATTTTACATAAAAATATTTTTTAATGTCAGAGAATTAAGTTTTATTGCAGTTGAAACTTCTGTTGTTTCAAGAGACACACAGTGTCTTTTGTTTTCTAGACCTATTTAGGCATGACTTACCAGATAGAATTCTTTTGTGTATGTATCATGCTGTGGCATAGTGGCTGATTCACAGGGGAAATGTAGACATGGGGGGAGGCTGTGAGCAGTATATCTGCACTTGATTTATATGTGTGCTTTAATTCTTACATCTTAGATGATTTATGTTGGAGATTGAACTAGCACACATCTGAAAATGTAACAGTAGGAACTTGTAGAATTGTGTTAGCATGAAATTCGATTGAATAATGTTTTAGATAGGCTGATCTTTTAGATATGGACATTCTATCTTGCTACTTGGCCCAGAGTTTATATCCTGTGCTTGGAAGAGTAGTAATACCTGATCAATGGAACTGTCCTTCCCTGATACTTCCTTGCAGAAATGTTTTCAAAATAATGTGTAAGGATCTCAGAGCCATGCTTCTTTTGTGCCTACCCAAATGGCAGGTACCTATACAGCTCTGCCATTTGTAAACAGAGCTCACCCAGCTGAAGAATCTAGCGAGGAAATTGTTATGAAGCATTCCAGCAAGCAAGATCACTAAGATTGTAATGATTCTTTGGCAACTACCTGTTTTGTTTTCTTCCTTTAGCAGCTTAGCAATGGAGAACTATTCAGTAGTGAGAGCATGTCCAAGCCACTTCAGTTGATAAACTATCTCCCATGTGGACTTTTGACACACAGTAATCTTCATCACAAATCTAGGTAGTTTGTGTCCGATTCTGTTGCAGGCAAGAACTATCCTAAGAACTATCCATATCCTAAAGTACGATTTCAGTTTCTCATGGAAGCTTCCCTGTTACAGTACTATTTTAATTACATTTTATATTTAATGTAATACTGTATACATTTATGGTTCAAAATCTGCTTTCTGATCATCTTTATTCAGTGACCCTGAGCTACACAATTAATTGTCCAGTAGTCTTAGTAAGCCCCGTAAGACAAACATCTTGGCATGGTTTGACAAATTATTTTCATAGGAAAAACTATATCCTTCATTTCAAATAATGTTCATACTCAAAGATGATAATAGTAATTTCAAGAAACTGGTCTTTAATACATGCTGTGCTAAAATTTTAGTATTTCTACAAATCTAGAATTAATGTCTAATTTTAAAACGTCTAATTTTTCTTGGTATTGGTTTTCTTTTCTGTGTCATTTTGGAAAATGTAGAATTGGGAAGATCATCAACAGAAGGAACCTTTGGAAGGAGTATCCCTGTTAACTCTTTTAGTGTGACACAGATCCTTTATAGCCTGATAAGAATGTACACCTTTCTGATTCTGTTTACAGCTAAGCTATCAGCTTAAAGTGGGGATCATGTACTGCAAGTCTGGACAAAGCACAGAAGAAGAAATGTACAATAATGAATCGGCAGGCCCAGCCTTTGAAGAATTTCTTCAGTTACTGGGAGAACGAGTTCGACTCAAGGGATTTGAAAAATACCGTGCTCAACTAGACACCAAAAGTAAGATAGCCTTTTTTATGTAGATTAAATGAGATATTGAAACTATGCACAATGTGGTCAACCAATGGATTTGATAGCAAAATGTACTGAGGATGTGTGTGGGGGGAATTAAGAAATTCTCTACTTTTCCAGATGTTCAAAGACTTCTCAAGATTCCTTTCTCTGAACTCCCCCATCATGACAACTGTCACTCATCTGTCTTGTGAAATTAATTCTGAAAAGTAGAATTCTTTGATTTTATGTTATTTCTGGACTTAAGATTCATTTTATGCATGGCATTTTCTGTTCTTACTACAGGAATTAAACTTGTTTGTTTGGTAATACAAGGAGACACTCATTAGGTCCATACGAAAGAAATCGAGTTTGGCAGTGGACGAAATTGGCAATTATAGGCCCATCGACAATATTTCTTTCATGAGCAAAGTGGTGGAGAGGGTGGTGGCAGACCAGCTTCAGGCACTCCTGGATGAAACAGATGCCCTGGATCCGTTCCAGTCGGGCTTCAGGCCGCGTCACGGTACAGAGACGGTATTGGTCGCCCTGTGTGATGACCTGCTGAGGGAGGCTGATGGGGGCAAAACGTCTGTGTTGGTCCTCCTCGATATTTCGGCGGCCTTTGATACCGTCGACCACAGTATCCTCCTGGGGAGGCTCTCCGAGTTGGGAATCGGTGGCCTGGCGTTGGCCTGGCTCCGCTCCTTCTTGGAGGACCGTCCCCAGAGAGTTCAGCTTGGGGAGAGTGTCTCGGCCCCGTGGAGCTCCAATTGTGGGGTTCCACAGGGGTCGATTATCTCCCCAATGCTGTTTAACATCTATATGAGACCGCTAGCTGGGGTCATCAGGGGGTGTGGAGTGTCGTGTCACCAGTACGCTGATGACACCCAGCTCTACATCTCCTTTTCATCAACTGCAGGTGATGCCGTCCTGTCCCTCCAGCGCTGCCTGGGGAATGTACTGGAATGGATGCAGAAGAATGGCCTGAG